CACAAACCATAATGTTTCTGTTATCAGTCTTTCCCTAAATTATTCAAAACACATTTTGCACTCAAAAATTTCTAGTCTGCATATTCAGCATTTCCCAGGTAATAAAGTTTTAATAGGCATAAGTGGCATTGATAAACTGTTTGTACCTGGTGCTATCAGAAAACATAGCTCTTTTTAAGAAAAAGCCATGAAAGAATAAAATGCCATGAATTTGGGTTAAATCAGCCTGCCTGGTTGATTTTTGTGAATTGCAAGAAACAGTATAACAGACACAGCTTTATAAACCTGCCTGGACTTATACCTGTTTCTCGCTCAGGAAAGATGACTGCATTACCAAGAAACTTAGTTCAGCAACTTCTGCAGTATGTAATCATTTGCAGAAAATTATTAGAGCAGAACTAAAAAGTCATATATTTTTCTAAGCACCTATCGTGCTCACATCCAGCCAATATGTTCTCAGGGCCCTTATACCTTCCTGCCATATACATTATATACAGCAGTAGTCACCTAACCAGTAGATCTCGATCCACAGGTAGATCTCGGAACCTCTTGCAGTATATCTCTGAGCTTCTTGGAGTAAATCCAAGGCTGGGGAGAGGGGGACTGAGTGCCCATGTGCACGCACATGCACACGCACGCCCCAGCCCAGCAGGTCAGTCTATAGGGGGGGGAAGGGGTAGGGGCTAGATCGAGGCCCCTGCAGTGAGGGACAGTGCTGCAGAGGCAGGAGCAGGGGTAAGTTGAGTGGGGCCCTGGCCGGGTGAGACTTACCTGCTGCGGAGGCATGCCCCCAAATAATTTTTTCTCCCTCTGCCTCGATCTGCCCCCCCTTTCCTCCCCACAGACTTACCTGTTGGGGGGCGGGGGGCACAGTGGCACATGGTAGATCTTGGGTTGCTTTTAAATGCCAAAGATGATCTCCTACTTACAGGTTAGAGACAACTGATATACAGTGTGTATGCTCCTAAAATTCATATAGCAGACACTGCTAACAATCCCAGTATTGCACATACACTATAACTCTGGTGATACCTGGAAGCACCATCTATAGCAGGGGTGTCAAAGATACCCAGCCTACAGAGCCCCATCACCCAGCCTCTGGTGGTCCCCCTGGGTCTGAGTTTACCCACATGGTGCACAGTGGACCAGCCCCACGCCACTCATCCTGCCCACAGGATTTGACACCCCTGATCTGTGTGTTCACATCTATAACGAGCAACTTCGTGCACTACAGTTAGTGGGAAGTTTTCTTTTCAATTTAAAGGGTAAACGTCGTGCACTGATATTATGAGTGGGTTGCTATCTTAAATCCTTCCTCTGAAAAAGGACTATGAATGGCTTTCTCTTACTGAATATTTTACTGGGTAAAGTACTTACATATATTAGAAATCTCTCAAGAAATATATTTGCAACATGCTGGATGAACAACAATCACACATTTCTTTTCCTCTGCAAATGTTTCTTGACAAAAGAGAAAAAAAATCATCAGAAATTCTTTGCATATTTTAACATGATCCAGCTTAGCAGGAAGAAAACCTACAGTAAATGTCTCCTGTAGCAGAGTTGTAGAAAGGTCATGTGTACCTTGTTTTGCTTTAAGACATATAGCAATTTTCTGTCTGGAGTGTTGTTTTGGAAAATGACCTTTAAGGGATGCTTGTTTTTTCTAATCTTTATTTGAACTGGAAACTGTCTTTTCAAAGGTTGCCAACTAAGCTGCAATGGCAGGCTTATATGATAGGACATGCTCTGGGTTTACTGACTTTAGGTTAGTGCCACGGGGTGGTCAGGAAAATTAGATTCGATTATTGTGTTAAACCAGCACTGCCACGAAGGTGGAATGCCAGGAAGTTCCTGTTGCATCACGTCTTCCAAAAATAACTGAAAGTTAAACTATGGATAAAGAAAGATGGCGCTGGGGTTCTGTTCTTCTATCACAAAAGTTGAGTAACTCCTGTTCACTCTGGTATGCTGTGGTTGGAGCATAGGGCCTAAGTAATCATGTTTTGGCAGAGCCCTATTCCCCACATGGAAGGCCTGTTCCCAGAAAAGGAGAAAGATACTCTGCATTGGTAAAGGAACAGGAGTTTTCAGCAGGATTCTTTTGTTTTTCTCCGGTCCAAATTAGAGCGGAGCTGTGTTAATTGCCTATCACTGTCCTCCCTGTAGCCCCTTTGCGTGTGTAATATGACATGAACTCATCCATTCAGTTTGTGAATTAGGGAGTGGATTAGAGAAGCAGCAGCTGTATGTGATGAGCTGTAATTACTTTTACTAATGCATGTAAATTCCTTTGCCTCTTCCTTCTATTCTGCTTTGCTTTGAGACTCTTCACACAAACTTTCCCTGGCTCATTTTATTGAACCAGAGAACTAATGTGGGTTGTTAATTTCAAGGTTTTCACAGCTTTCACTTGAGCACATTTGTGTGGGGAGAGGAATCAGAGCTTTGACAGTCCACAGTGTTGACAGCATGAGTAAAGATCTTCAATGAAGTCTGACAGTGGGTATTCATGAAAACTTGGAATGAAGCCATGGCAAGCTTGGAATATGATTAGCCCATGAAAGAACTTTCTGGTTTGTGGTTATGATGGTTATGTCAATAAACCAGATTTATTTGGTTAACTGCAATAGATTTTTAGACACAGATAACACGGCCGATAATTATGTTCCCTCATTTCTGGCACAGCTCCTGTCTCTCTCTCTTTTTTCCTCCTAAGACATCTATTTTTTTAAACTAGGATATTTAAAAGTAAAGAATGGGACACTTTTCAATTTTATTGCCTTCTTTGAGTAATGGGGAATTATTTTAAATGTGGCCATCCAGAGTGTGTGTTGCATTTATTATCAAAGTGAGCTACCAACTTGAGAGCCATAGCGTAGAAATCCTGAGGTAGACATTCAGTGAGCATTCCTATGCAATACTGGGATAATTCAACCTATTTGAAATTGCATGTACTATGTTAGCATTCTCCTTCTCACCCTTCCCTTCCCTCCAAATGCTGGGGAAATTCATAACTGGTTGTTACAAGGTTTGCAAAACAGTGGGCATATCTACATGAGATGCTACTGTCCTGTGGTTACTACACATTTATTTAGTACTTCTGTAATCAAGTAATAAATAAATGTGCAATAACTGGAGAATGCCTTTAAGTGACGCTACTGCGCAGTAGCGTATTAGCACTGTTGGTGCTGTGACGCATTACTGTGCAGTATTATTTCACTACTGCGCAGTGAGCATCTCACTCAGGGCCCAGTGTGGCCAATAATATTGTTTGTCAGTAGACAACAAGGAGGAAAATTATCTGTTAACATTGGTTCTGCAGCCTATGGTAGGGAATGGGATGTTTTCCCCTTGAACCTTAGTCTTTTCCCTCTGCTTAAAGTAAATAAATGTTTTTTATTGTTCTGGACTAAAGTGAGATTTTAATGTATTTAGTTAATGGAAATTGGGAGATCTAGTTCTATTCCTGGCCTTGTCACTGGCCTTTTGTCACTTCATCTCTCCCTACCTCTTTTTCTTTTTCATAGCCCTTATATACAGAGTGACCATACATCCCAGTTTGACTCGGACATTCCAGGAATCAGTAGTTCAGTCCTGGCAAGCTGGTCAAAAGTCCAGGGCCATAGTCTGCTGGGGAGGTGGAGTTGCATGGTGCGCCAGGCAGGCGGTAGAGCAGGAGCAAGGCAGGTGGGCTAGAGCAGGCACCACCCCGCCCACACGTGGCACATCTTTGCTCCCACACCTGTCTGGCCACTTGCCTGGTACACCAGGCTGCTCCACCTCCCCTTCAGACTCTGACCCGGGACTTTTGACCAACTAGTTGGGACTGGGCTACAGAATCCTGGAGTGTGCCAGCCAAACCAGGACGGTTGCTATATACGGATATCTATTATTCTTTTGTTCCTTCCTTTAATAGCTGCAAAATCTGCTCATATAACATCCTTGTTCATATACTTCCCAGATTACTATCTTTTCCTGTCTGGTGTTCCTTTCTCCCCTTTTTTCCTCCAGTTTGCTCAAAAGACAGTTGCTAATGTCATGTTCCACTTCCTACCCAAATGCCACGTGACGCTGAAGCTAACCAACAAGGTTCTCCCATGACCTTGTCTGACTGTGTTATCATGTCACCCTTTTTCCCTATTTTGTTCTCTGCATTCATCACCTTGTGTTGCCTGATCTCTTCTGCACCCTTGGCTTTGCACCTTCTATTTTACTACCCTTTTTTCTATAAAGAAGGCTTCTTGATTTTTGTCTCAAATGCCCTCAACATATCTGTTCTTGAAAGTTATTTCATAAGGAAATTGTCCTTCCAAATATGCAAATCCTTCCAACAGCCACCCATAACAGAATAACTTGTCCAGTATTTTCTCTTGCTTTTACCCTAGTTGGTAAGGTCTTTGAAGAAGAAAAACAGGTTACTATTTGTTATAAGACACCATGTAAATTTAAAGTGCTTTGGAAACTGCATTTTTAATATTAACAATTAGCCTTTTCCATCTCGGATTCAATACATTTAAAATACAATAAAATAAGGAGAAGAATGGAGAAAAATGCTGTTAAAATGCTGTGCATGCATGTTCCTGTTCTGACCTTTTTCCATCCATAAAAAGTATCACTGTCAGTTAAGCGTACAGATGGAGGATATTTTTGCAGCACATTCACTGCAACACTGTCTCTTTAGATGGATCTAACGTATTTCCTCTTCCTTAGTCAGTTTGCTCTTTGCCTACAGTGTGTGAACACATCTGTGAAGATCATAGGCATGCAACTCAGCCAACGGGGACTGAGTGATTCTGTCAGCCAATCTCTGATTGGTGTGTGCACTTTTTTAATAAACTAATTTTCCACAGTTCAAAGGAAGAAAGAAAACACAGTTGGAAGCCTAGTCTGGCAACATGTCACATGGTGCATTATCAGAGAACACAGCTGAGTATGAGCACAGAATTCTCCACTGCGGCTAATCCCAGGCTTTCCCTTTCCTTTTCTGTCTCTTACAGAGACTGGTAGTGGCCAAGATTATGTGACCTCAGAGAACCAGCTGTTGTATTACCCCAGCATCACCTATGCTATCATTGGCAGTTCAGTCATTTTTGTGCTGGTTGTGGCCTTCCTTGCCTTGGTTTTGCACCACCAGCGAAAGCGCAACAACCTCATGACCCTGCCTGTGCATCGGCTGCAGCACCCTGTCCTCCTGTCCCGGCTGGTTGTCCTTGATCATCCACATCATTGCAGCGTCACCTACAATGTGAACAATGGGATTCAATACATGTCAAACCAGGCCTATCATAGGCCAGTGGATCTGGATTCTCCTCCATCCTACTCAGAAGCTGTTTTAGACCAAAGGTATGTGCAAAAGTTAATTGTTTCATCACCAAAGTTATTCTAATGGTAGACTGAGACAGGTGTCTGCCATGTGTTTGCATCATTACCTTGATAGCACTCCTCTACTCTGGAAGCTGCACACGTTTTGTACCAATTGCGTCAAATGTAAGTGGGAGAGAAGATGTCCCTTTCCAACCTCCACCTGAGTCTGCAAAATACGTGAGTCTCAGGTCCGGTTCCAGAACATATTAAGAAGGAGATTTAGATATGCATGGCATCCAGATCCTCATTGATGTTCACCTGGCTGATCCAAGCCACAAGGCACTGGAACACCTCTCCCTTGAAGTCAAGCCAACTCTCAGCAGAAGTAGTCAGTGCCCCTGGCAGTGCTGTATTCTACAGAGATGGCAAGGAGAAAACCCTCCCTTCTTTAGCTACTCATTGCCAATCTGGAGCAAAGCTTGAAAAATTCTGAAATAGCTTTTCTGCTAGAGGCCCTAAGGCATAGATTTTGAAAGGTATTTAGACACCTCCCCCATTGGCCTGAGCACATTTAAAAATTTAGCCTGAACCACAATAACCCAGGAATAGAACAGTGCTGGTTTGTTCCAAAGACATTTGGTGCGTAAGGTCTCTGCATTTGTGTAAATATACAAGAAAAAATAAGCATTTGTGACCCCTTCCAAAATACTTTGTCTCTTTCCAATTAGCCCATATCACTTTTTGAGTAGTGCTTCTCATCCACACACAAATACAGATATACACCCCTTTTGGACACTGCCTTTATTTATAGGACAGCACGTATGCCTCTACAGCCTTTTTTTCTCTTTGTAAATCTGCACATGACAGATATGGCATAAGTAATGGCAGGGGAAACCTCTATCTGTTGCCCTGCCAGTTTTTCTTAGAAGTGATTGTGAAGTGTAGGGATGAGAGGGTCATTGATTCTCCGTGCCTATTTATTCACTTACTTTCTTGCCGAAACTGGTTAAGTAGTTTCTGTTTCAAGGATGACTTCTTTGTAATGACAACACCTTTCCACTAGCAGCTTCACTGAGACCAACTAACTGGACAGCTATCCAAATTATGATTGCTACTTACCTGGGCTGGTATAAACTGCAGGCAACTCCAAAATTAAATGTACCTTATCCCAATATCAACCTGCTGGAACGTTCATTTCCCCTTTTACTTGTTCTTTGACAGTAACTGTTTCTTTGAAGCCATTAACAGTATTGTCTGTACTTAGAGAACAGTTGCTTTGTAAGCTGTATCCCAGGAGTGAACATGAAATGTCCTGCGTAGAATTCAATTTATTGTTTGTTTGGATATAGTAGATCACGCGAGCCATTACCTTCCTGTATTGATGAGGTTTTTTTTCCTTGAGCTTACATCTAAAAAGTATATACCGTCTTCTTACTGTCAGTATCCCTAGGTGCTTTCCACACTATGTAATTGTTATCCCAGAAAAAGCTTTTATTCATTGCTGAATGGCAGCCGTTGTCCATGGTAGGTGATTGGCAGCGCAGGGGATGCAACATTTTGGGACAGAAAATGAATACCCTGTTAAAATTGAAATTAGCAGAAAAAATCATTTAGGCAGAATTTTATTGTCAGTATTAACTTTTGACCAGAACATGGTTTTAACATCTACGGATGAATTTCCCCTAAACTTTTGTATTTACATCTCAGTAGGCATTTCCATGGAAAGCATCATAGGGCTGCTGTTTTTTTATCACTTTGTTGGGGGAAAAATTCATAATCAATTAGAACAAAATTCACTATTCCTCCCTACATGCCATTGTCTTCAGTAACTTGTTGCTTTTTTGTATATTTTGCAGCAGACCCCCTTGGTTTGATCTTCCTCCACCCCCTTACTGCGCAGAATCTGAATCTCCCAGTCAGACAGATCTTCCTCCTTACCGATCTCGGACAGGAAGCTTGGTGAGCACAGGCACCCCAATGGCAGGAAACAGCCTGCACACAGACCACAGTCGGACAGGATGCGTCAGTAACAATGTGGACCATCGTGAGACACTTCTTGGGACAAGAGCAGAGGAAAATGACTTTCTGATCAACTCTGCTGCTGAAAGAGAAATGTTACAGGTTTTTTAAATGTGTATATGGGTTAGTCTGTTGTGGTTTATTACCTTCTGAGATAGGAGGGAGCAGCAATGTTTAGAAAAGGATTTACTTTTGGATCCAACTCCAGATTGCTGCACATTTAACAGATGCTTTGACTCAGTATTTGAGCTCATCACCGACTTCTTGATCTAGGTTCATGTCAGAACTTCCAGAAGGTTTTAAGGGAGGGTTCCAGTTCAAATCTGTATAATATGTTGATGCTAAGACTTTGTGATTTAATGTATTTCTGGGAGATTGTATATGTATGTACATAGGTGCACATATAATATATACAGATAATACACACATGCCCGCACACACACACAGACATACACGTTTGCATTTACATTGAAGTTTCCAGACTGGCTCTTGTCTTTTCCATGCTTCAGTTCAGGCGCAGTCATCTGCACAGATGATGGGGAGTCACTGAGTGTATAGGACAGAGAAAGAACGTATCCCTGCTTTGAGATCTGATACTCAACTACACAACTGCCCCACTGCAGCAAGAAGCAGCAGTTGCAGGGAAGGTCCTGTTTGGCCCCTCCATCCCCAGAAGGGAGCATGCTCAGTACAAATGTAGTCACTGAAAATGTTAGCTTAGCTTTGAAATTTTAATAAGTTCCTACCAAGGTTCCCTCTAAGGTGCACGCATGTGCAGCCGCGCATAACTAACAGTGTGGCTGCGCGCAGCCTTTTCAAGGCTGCGCACCAGGAGAGGCTGGAGCCAGAGCCTGACGCGGGCTCCGCTGGCTCCAGGGAAGTGCTCCACTCCCCTGCATCAGGGCTGGGGTGTGGAGCACTTCCCCAGAGCCGGTAGAGCCTGTGTCAGCCACCAACCCTAGCCTCCATCCCTGCCTTGCCTCGCCTCGGGGAGGAGCCACTGCCTGCCCCGAGTGAGGCTCTGCCAGCTCCAGGTCATGCCACTGAGGCCATGAGGGGGAGCGGAGCAGTGTCCCGGAACCGGCAGAGCCTCACTTGGGCCAGGCAGCGGCTGCTCCCCAAGGTGAGGCAAGGCAGGGATGGGGGCTGATGAGGGCGGCTGGTGCGGGCTCCACCAGCTCTGGGGAAGTGCTCTACTCCCCGGCCCTGATGTGGGAGAGCGGAGCATTTCCCCAGAGCCGGCGGAGCCTGTGCCAGGCTCCGGCTCCAGCCCCTGTCCCCCAGCCACCAGCCCCCGGCTCCCAGCCCCTGGCTCTGGCCCCAGCCACTGGCCCCTGGCTTCAGCCCTTGGCCCCCGGCTCCAGCCCTCAGCCCCCTTCAGTAAGAGTCCCACGCTGGACTGAGGCTGCACGCACACGGACTGAGGTGGTGCGCTCATGGACTGCTGCTCCTTAGAGGGAACATTGATTCCTACTTAGCAAAACCTAATGATCTGGCTGGTTTTTCTCCGGGAATGTCTCCTAGCTAAAAGGGAGGTGCACAGCCAATGGAAGGGAGGGGCCATCACCAGGGAAGATTATACTGCGGGTGTTTGGGGCTGCAGGGGGGCAGTCAGGAAGGCCAAGGCGGAGATGGAACTGGGACAAGGGACCTGGATCAAGGACACAAGAAGTCCTTTTTTAAATACATAGGGGGTAAAAAGAAGGTACTGTGTAATGTGAGGCCTTTGCAAGGCACGCTAGGAAATCTGGTCGTCACACCAGATGACAAAGCTAACCTATTTAACAACTTCTTTGCCTCCGTTTTCCTGAGCAGGGACCGGATCGGCCCCAGGGGAGGTACACCCAGGCCTTGGGTCAGTGAGGATCTAGTCAGGGAACTTCTCAAGGGACTGGATGTATTTAAATCAGCTGGTCCGGACGATCTCCACTCCAGAGTGCTGAGGGAATTAGCTGAGGTCATTGCAGGACCCCTGGCACGGCTTTACGAGCACTCATGGTGCTCTGGTGTGGTGCCAGAGGACTGGAAGAGGGCAACGTGTTTCCCATCTTCAAAAAGGGGAGGAAGGAGGACCTGGGAAACTATAGGCCAGTTAGTCTTCCCTCGATCCTGGCGAAGCTTTTTGAGAGAATTATCCTGGCATATGTCCATGAGCAGGGGAGATTATGCTTAGGGGCAACCTGCCTCTTTAGAGGCGGGTCCTTTCAAACCAACCTGGTGGCCTTCTATGACTAGGTCCAAAATCCTTAGATGCAGGGGTAGCAGTGGACATAGTTTTTCTGGACTTTAGGAAGGCCTTCGACACTGTCTCTCACCCCATTCTCATTAAAAAA